GGGGAAGACCAAGAAGAAGATGGATTGAAGGAGTCACGGACAACTTGAGACTTCATAACATCACGGCATATGAAGCGACTGAGCGCGCCCTGGCTCGGTTGCCGATCATCTGATAGACTGCGACGCCTAGCGGCACAAGCAGATTTTGACAAAAGAAGAAGAAAGAATTATAGGTACAATTTTGTCATGCTCTCGATGTGATGTTTTCTCTGTCCCGTAGGTTTGTGAACTCAGTGCCTTGGCAGAGCATTAGATTTTTGGCCCTAATTATGGTTCATGATAATTAAATGTTGCTTCAGTATGATCAATACATTTTAAAATATTAACTTATTCTTATTCTTTTAACTACAAGTATGAACTGTGGTTCTACAAGAATGTGTCTTTATCTTTACTATGAAACGCACCTGGGGGCTTTATAAATTGTGGGTTGGTCTTTAGCTATGTATTTCGCAGGTGTCCACACTTTCTTTTTCAATGAATCTCATCTACCATCTAGTTCCCACAAGTCTGCTTACATAAGTTTTTGAGGTTTTAAACAACAGATCAACATCATAGCATACGGATGTAACCCATAAGTGCTTGTTCTTCTTCTAACTCAAATGCGAGTTCGAAAAAGCTCGGCACAGTGCACAGGCTCTGTAGCACCGGCGAGGATCCTGAAATACTTTGGGTAGATTTTTAACTCTAAATTTTGCCCGGCAGCGCTGTTATGCTACTATTTGCGATTTCCAAATACCAAGAGATTTTTCTACGTGGGCAACAATGCACACGGGCGTCCGATCTCACTACCCAGGAACCAGGGGGGATTACTTCAAGTCCAAATACCCCAAAAAAAAGCCCAGGCTTTACTGGGGATCGAACCCGGAACCTTTAGCATCGAGGTGGACATCATGCCTCGAAACCACGCCGCCTTTTTGCTTATATAATAATATCCTAAGAAAAAAAAAAAACTTAGATAAAATAATTGTCGAGCAACTTCTGCAGTCTTTGTGCAGTGTTGCGTTATGGACAAATAGCTACCTTATCAGTCTATCCTCATCCTATAAAGACTGATTGTCTTTTATGACACCAGGTCGACCAAAGTCGTAATTTGGTACAAGGTATAAAGCTCTGGGACATACAGACCATATCACCCACCAAAGTGCCGACTGGTCTAAAAAACTAGATGTGGCCAGTAGGCCTAAAGGCTTAGAAATTGGTACTTTAATTGAAGATTAACCCTTACCCGTCCGGAGAGGGGGTACACCGGTTAGAGTTTGGCGTAGTAGTTACATGTGAACTATTTATAACTTTTCAATAGGCTGCATGGGGTATTTGGAATTCGCTTGTTGTGTTGCGACTTTTAATTTTCGTCTTTGAAGTCCAACGGCTTGTCAAACCTTCAAGTGATAGCCCAGATGGTAAACACGGACAGACAGACAGACAGACAGACAGACAGACAGACAGACAGACAGACAGACAGACAGACAGACAGACAGACAGACAGACAGACAGACAGACAGACAGACAGACAGACAGACAGACAGACAGACAGACAGACAGACAGACAGACAGACAGACAGACAGACAGACAGACAGACAGACAGACAGACAGACAGACAGACAGACGAATTCAAACTCAGGTTAAACCATGCAAGACTCTTGTGTGTGTGGGGGGGGGGGAAAGGGGGGGGGGGGGGGGGGTTGTCCGATTGTGCAGCTCAAAATATAATGGAATGTCTCGTTTTAAATTCAAAATTGTAGTGGGATGTGTCGTTTGAGGCTCAGGATATTTTGGTCATCCTGAGTTCAAGACATGCTTGAAATAATCCCACTAAATATGGATTAGAGCCGAAAACATTCGGCTCGGAACTGTGCTTTTAGTTCCCCATATCAAGATATCAGTGGGGAACGAACTGTTGTGAGTTCCAATGCATTGATATATTGAAAACGGACTAGACGTCATTTCACTGAAACAATAGCAAATGCACTAAGAGTTTGAGATAAGGGAAGCAGGGATAAAAACAGAGCTGAAGGAAGACATAAAAAAAAAAAGACAGACAAATCAAATAGAGTCGCCACATCAAAAATCTATTAGTATGCTTCATTGAATATCGAGAGCTTGGACCGTATATCCTAGGAGATCCTTGGATATTTCAGGACAGAAAAACGTTCCACCTGAAAGCCTACACTAAGCAAGCAATTATGTTTACTCTATCCCTCTCTTTCTTTCTCTCTCTCTCTCTCTCTCTCTCTCTCTCTCTCTCTCTCTCTCTCTCTCTCTCTCTCTCTTTCTCTTTCTCCCGTTCTCTCTTTCTCTTTATCGCGCTCCGTTTCCATCTGTGTCCCTGTCGTTCTCTCTCTTTCTCTCTCTCTCTCGGCTATCTCTCTCGCTCTCTTTATCTCTCTCATCCTTATTTAATATCAGTGTGTGTGTGTGTGTGTGTGTGTGTGTGTGTGTTTCGACGGTGTAAAGAAGTCAGTGTCACACCAGTCTTTCATAGCCTCCTTTTAGGATAGATTAATCGCAGATTACCGTCAGGGTCTTTCCTAACGAGTTGATCGATCGATCAGTTTGCCCGTTCTGGTTTGCTGCCTAAAGGTTTACCATACAATCGGATGGTAGTTCAACAAGATAGATTAAAGCCACTGTGTTCAGCCTCACAGAAGTTATAATTAGGGCCCCGCAACGGAACCGTCACAGGAGCCAGGTGTAACTTATAGTCCTGTTCGGGTAAGGACCAGTCTTGATAACCAGTCAGTGATAGCTCAAATGTGACTTGGTCATCTTATCTCAGGCAAAAATCAGGACGCTGGTGCAAACACTAAACAGTGTCGAAAACAAGAAATTAAGAAAACTATATGACCTGAATGTACAACAGCTGTAGAGAACTGAATGTACAACAGGTGTATAGAATTGAATGTACAACAGATGTAGAGAACTGAATGTACAACAGCTGTAGAAAACTGAATGTACAACAGTTGTAGAGAACTGAATGTACAACAGTTGTAGAGAACTGAATGTGCAACAGCTGTAGAAAACTGAATGTACAACAGCTGTAGAGAACTGAATGTACAACAGCTGTAGAGAACTGAATGTACAACATACACAGAGATAATTAAATGTAAGAATAGCTCACATTATTTAATGTACAACTGGAATAGAATATCGAGTTCACAATAAATTATGTGGTAGGGCCTGGTAGGAGAACGTGTACAGTTCGGAGAGCAATCGGATCATCATAGTCTAGAATGATGCAGCCGGGAGTGACGAGGAGATATGGCCGATTCGGGACGAGGCTCAGATGAAAGGCAAGACAGACGTATAATTAGTAAGCTACTGGCATTATTGGTACTGGAACTCTGGGCTGGCTGCTGAAGATGGGAACGGAGCGCTTACTAGAAGGCCCCTCATGCTGTGAGGTCGTCACTTGATTCAACTCAACTCAATAAATAATGAGTTAAATATACAGTTTGTGTACAAAATTGAATGCACAACATGCAGATAATTCAACATAAGAATGATCATTAGGTGCCTTGCCGACTGACTTGGCCAATGCCACATAATGCGTTCTCTCCTGCAGCATATATTAGTTTGTGTGCTGACACACCTCTATGCCATGCAACAAGACTGTCAAGAATCTTCTCTCGTTGTCTTCCACAGATCTTTCCAGTGGTCAGAACATGTTCTATTTTCCTTCTTCTCATAACATGGCCGAAAAATATCTTCTGATGTCTGTGATCAGTTGTCTTCGGGCTCCCGCCTCTTTCAAAACCTCTTGGTTGTTCTTTTTGGCTGTCCAAGGTATTTTAATCATGCTTCTGTAAAACCACATCTCTGAGGCTTCGACAAATTGTTTTGGCCTGCCTACACAGATTATTTAATGCACGACTACAAATCCGTCCAACTAAGGGACGCAGTTTTATCCTCATTTTACAAGCCTCACCCCGACTGCCGTAGGGGGTCTTAATATAACCTAGCGGTTGAACGGGGTTTCTGCAACTTGTGCCCTGAGTATTTTCATGCGAATGGTGGCACTTTGTGTCACCGGGTATTCGTCGCTCATTGGGTGGTCCTGGTGGGTTTGAGCGTCACTCAGTGTACACATAGAATAGAATATTGAATTTACAATACATAGTATCTCCAGTCTACAACACACGCACACACGCACACACACAAACACACACACACACATACATATTGTATTAAATGTACAACACGCTTATTGAACTGAATATAGCACAAAAGTACATATTATTGAAGTGCAAGTAGCACAGAATGTTGAATGTATAACAAACCGTCTGTTGACTGTACAATATTCATATAGCATTAAATCTACATCATGTTTAGAAATTCAAATGTACAACAGTCGCAGATATTTGATTGTGCGACAAGCCCCAAAACACTTGATTTATGACTGAGTTATACAGAGTTGAATGTTCAACAGACACAGACTTCGGAACGAACGAACGAACGAGCGAACTTTATTTTCAAAGGGTTAAGAATTGGGCACACAGGCCCGTCTTACATTCTGCCCTTCTGACCTCCCGCCATGCATACATTATTTATGCACACATTGTTTTAGCAGATAGTAATAATATTAATAATAATAATAATAATAATAATAATAATAAAAGGCATCATCTACAACATCTTTGTAACAATGTACTCTAAGTATGCCTACATTTCAAAACAATTTTATTACTAAATAATAAATCTGTATTCTTAGGAAACTATTATCTTCTAAGGGGACATGTAGTCTGAAGTGAGATAATATTCAAAACTGACGAGAGAGATTTGTTCGTTGTGAAGAGAAACCACAGTGACAATATAATATTTAAAAAATTCCAATTGTATTTATAGAGGTTGTTGATAATTTTGATTGGTTGTGGAAGTTGGTTCCATGGATGAGCTGCAGAGTACGTCAAGCTTAATTTGTACAAGTCTATGTGTACAACAGGCACACAGTTTTGAATGCTCTATAAGCATTGACTATTGACTGTTTAACAAACACAGAGACCTACCTGACGAAAGGATCGCACGAGTTGTCCACTCCCTGGGTCCGGCTGGGTAGGTTCTTGGCCTTAATCAAAGTCACCATCAGTCTCTCCGTCTCCCGCTCGTACTCGGTGGCGAACCAGACTCGGCCGATGTGGTCCGGCGGGATGTCGTAGTGGTCGTCCTCATCGGCGACTTTGTAAAGAGCGGGGTCAATGCTTCCTAGAGCGTATGCTCCTGAAAATTACAAGAAACAGCCAGGTATGTAATTCTGTTGTTTGACTGGAACCTTTCTAATCTATAGTGTTATATTGCGCTATGAGGAGGCATGAGACTAAGAGCCCATGACGACGGTGAGTGTGACGTGACTAGCAAGACCCGATTGCATTAAGAAAAGTCTTCCACAATTATAGCATGGGATTACATGATCATTATTGTTAATATTTGTGTAATTCTGAATGTGAGGATAAAATTAGTCGCATATTTTTTACAGGCCGCTGTAGAAACAGCCCTAGCTTTTTTGTGGTGTCGCTTTGTGTCACCGGATGTTGATCACTTCAGGTAGGCCCTGGTGGGGTTAAACTAACTAGCTGCTTCTTTGTGTGTGTGTGTGTGTGTATGTGTGTGCGTGTGTGTGTGCATGCCTGTGAGTGTGTATGCCTATGAGTGTGTGTGTGCCTTATGTGTATGTGCCTGTGTGTTTGGGAGTGTGTGTGCCTGTGAGTGTGTGGGTGTGTGGGTGTGTGCCTGTGAGTACGTGTGTATGTCTTTGTGTGTATGTCTTTGTGTGTGTGTGTATGTCTGTGAGTGTCTGTATGTATGTGTGTGTGCCTGTGAGTGTGTGAATGTCTGTGTGTGTCTGTGTGTATGTCTGTGAGTGTGTGCTTGTGTGCCTGAGAGTGTGTGGGTGTGTGCCTGTGTGTGTGTGTCTGTGAGTGTGTGTCTGTATGTGTGTCTGTATGTGTGTGTGTGCTTGTGAGTGTGTATGCCTGTAAGTGTGTGTGCTTGTGAGTGTGTGTGCCGCCTGTTAGTGTGTGTGTGTGCCTATGAGTGTTTGTATGTGTGTGAGCCTGTGAGTGTGTGTTTCCGTGTATGCCTGCGCCTGTGTATGTTTTACTAAGCAATTTTACGGTCAGTAGTCTGCATTCGCTTACTGAACGGTTCGCTCTCGAAACCACCATCAAACCCAACGCAAGGCGGCCTGCTGTCAAATCGCCTGCAGTTCGGATCGAATGCAGCTCATCCCATTTCCTCCCCATCTATTTAACTTTGGCCTTCTCCAAGTAATTTTTTTTCAAATTGCCCTCTGTCTATGCATATGTGGGTTCCTGTGTAAAGCCCTTCTAGTTATAATGATCTTAGTTTTCTTAGCGTGTGTGCTACCCAAAACCAGCATTATTTCCTCACCACTTGATTAACTGGGACTTGTTTAGTCCTCACCCAAAGCTCGTCATTAGTGATTATACCATACTATTTATTCCCACTATTTAGCTCTGAAGAAATATCTTTGTCTCTTCAGTTATTATTTATATGAACTTTGAACTTTGAACAACAGACCAACATCATAGCACAAGCTACCCATACGTGCTCTGTTCTACTTCTTTTTCAATTCTGAGTCCTAAGTAGATTAGCGCAGTGCACGGGCTCCGTTGCACCGGCGAGGATCCTGAAATATTTTGGGTAGATTTCTAACTCCAAATTTTCCCGGGCAGTGCCGTTAGGCTACTCTTTTCAATTTTCAACTGCCAAGGGATATTCTACGCTCGCAACAATACACACGGGCGTCTGATGTCACTACCTAGAGACCAGGGAAAATTACTAGGAGTCCACTTGAAAAAAATCCCAGCCTTCACCGAGGCCTAAACACAGGACCTCTAGCACTCGAGGCAGACACTATGCCTCGAGACCATGCAGCCTCCATAATATTTATATATTGGAAGCAACTCTCCTTTACCATATAATATTTAAATGTGAACCTGTTACCTTTTAATGTACTTCCATGTTCAGCCAGCTAAACACATTGTACTTTCTTGACGTGATTCTCCATAGAATACTCATGTATTTGCATCAACTCCCACATCAAGCAATGATTCTGATAACTGATTTCAGAATCCATATCACAGCACACAGGGCATACCCACAGGTGTTCTGTCTCCCGCAGCAAATGTCTTAGAAGGTGTAGATGCTAACTGTTTCTGTGGCATGCTGATTATACACACGTCGTTCCCTTACTCTCATACCCCGGTCCTTGCCGCACCCACTCATAATTCCTCGTTCTCCCATTCTTACACCTGTTATTTCACGTAGCTTCGTGTCTTATATCAGTATTCGTTCATAAATGGACTTCAGAATGTCTTATTTGTCCGCAATGGTTCACACGAAAATAGACTCGCACAAACTTTAGTGTGAACCGACATTCTTTGGGTCCAGTCAAAATAATGCCCTAACATTGTGTATTGTCTACAGTAGAAAAAAATTATTAGGTTTCAGCGAAGATGCTAGCAACATTTGGTTACATCTGT